CGGAGATCATCACTATTAAGGATCCACCTACTTCCAAAAAAGGAAGAGGGTGCAGAGAACCTTTGATGGCATTGAGGACACTTGGAAAAAAAGTTGTCTGAGTTATCCAATCCAATGAGATGTGAGGGTGCAAACCATGTGTGCGTGTGGGGGGGGGAGACTTGGAGCTAGTCTCTAATATATTGCAGCTTTCTTATATTTATCCTAGTTGTGGCTGCTGCACTAGTTAAACACTTCCTGTTCTAGGTTTATAACACTATCTCACTATAATGTATCTCTGGAGGAGCAAAGCTGTGACCCTAGGACAGATAGTGGTTTAGGACTACAGAATACTTAACCCTCTCCTAACCTCCATAACATAAAGGGGAGGTGGTCTGAAGAGATACCTGGGGACAATGCAGACTGTTAAATCTGCTGCAGAACTGGAGAGCACAGGAAGTTCTCACTAGATTTCTGGAATGATCAACATGTATTTTTTGCACTTATTGAACAAATATAACAAAACTGTTTCAATGCTTCAGCCAATTAAAAATACTTAGGCTAACCATGTGTGCAAGGACCCATCCATCCGTCACCAGAAGAGGGAGCCACATAGGAGAACAGAGGACATCACACCTAACCAGGGGCATAACTACAAATCATGGAGGTACATCCGAGATGATTTGTGTCATTGTACAGACAGTATTTATTAACCCCTTCGTGATTGACGTGATTAAACAGACTCCCAGCGGCAAACTCTGTTTAAACAGAAGCGATTCTGGCGAGTTTCCTGTCGCCAGATCGCTTCTGTTTCCCGAAGAAGGCCCACCCCCCCGCTGGACACCCCGCCGTGCTTCCCGGGCTCCGTTGCCCCTCCTACGGGCCCGTGACCGGTGATCTTTGTGTCCGCGGGGAGCTGGGGAGGAAAAAACAGTAGAATAATGGGCTTTACCGAAAAGCCGTCACTTTGTTTCGTCTGCCCACAGCACATTCTCCTAAAAGGATTTTGGCTTCCTCAGTAAGTTTTGGCAAACTCCAATCTAGCTGTTTTATGTTTCTGTGTCAGCAGTGGGGTCCTCCTGGGTCTCCTACCATAGCGTCCCTTTTCATTTAGATGGTGACGTATAGTGCGAGCTGACACAGTTGTACTCTGTGCCTGAAGGTCAGCTTGAATATGTCTGGAAGTTGATCGAGGGTCTTATCCACCATTCCAGCAATCCTTCGTTGCAATCTTTGATCAATAGTTCTCTTTTGTCCACGTCCAGGGAGATTAGCTACAGTGCTATGGGCTGTAAACTTCTTGACGATGTTGCACACAGTGGACACAGGAACAGTAAGATCTCTGGAGATGGACTTGTAACCTTCAGATTGTCCATGCTTTTCCACAAGACTTGGAATGCAATTATTTCTTGCGATTTGGAGAAGGTGCCAATAATTTCGGGCAGTCCATTTTTGCAGTTTTGCGTGGAATGTGTCAGATTTGGCTTTTTTTTCTCTACTTTTTTTGTCAACAAAAGAAATAAACATGACAATGCCTAAACATTTGTAATTGCAACAATTTTCTGCGCGAAGTGGTGCATTATCTGACATGCAGGGGTGCCAATATTTTTGCCCATGACTGTAAATTACTGTAAGGCGGAGCTTTAGGCTTGTTCTTTATCTTTTTGCCCCTCGTGTTTACATAACTCAATAGATGAAGCAGAAATGTACACACATAGGTAAAAATGTTGGAGCAGTGACTCATTTCATTTGAGGGTAGGGACTGTTGTGAATGTGCAACTATGTAAAGCGCTGCGTACATTGTCTGCGCTATATAAAAATACCTGTAATGTAATATAGTACAACATCACTTAAGACCCCTGGAGTGTGTATGCACCAAATCCAACAAAGCACCAAAGGCAACTATAATCAAAAAGGGTAAAGGTGCACAAGGACATACAAAAATGCTTTTGTGTTAAATATGATACGTAAATGTAAATATATTTGTGTTTATATTTATGTATTTGTGTGGGTATATATATTTGTGCGTGCGTGCGTGCGTGCGCGGGCCAACAACATAATTCAGCATCTATGTAAATGGATGTTCCCCCCAAGCATTGTCAGTACCCAGAAGCTGCACGCTGTATACATAAACACATGACACATCAGCACATTCATCCGAGTGCACATGTGTTGTTATCAGGTCTAGTTTCCAACAATGCTCAGACCTTACATTAAGTGACACCAGCCAAGAGAGAAGTCTCTGCCCAGCGCTCACTGACACACACTTTGCTAAGGACCAATGCGATGGGTAGTGGCCAAGTGAGCACAAATAAAAGAACAGCAAAAATGTTTAATTTGCTGTTTTCATTTTATTAATTACACATTGGGCAGTGCAAGTGGAAGGTTAGTGGTACAGTTTTGTGTGTGTAGATGCACGTTTGGAAGAGTTTCCACGTTTTCTTGCCACGAGTTGAATGGCGTTTTTCTTTATTTAACGCACATGTGCACTTGTATTCGCATGCAGTGCCACAGTGTGATTTCTTTTTACTGAATTTTTATTAGCCTTTAAGCACATCTACAGTGTTTCCATCTCTTGGGGTGCATCAATTAAATTTCCCTGTTGCTCTGTAAGAAAGTCAGATTAAATTCATACACTTTTTCTAAAGTCTGTCTTACGTGGACAATACAGCTGTGTGACTGTATTTTAATCCTGCCCACTGAACACAGCGTGAGTGAACATTCATGGTGGATTAATCTCCTCCATGTGATATGAGTTCTAGCATATTTGGCTCGTAATAAACCAACTCTTTTCTTGTTCTCTTTTTCTTGTTTTTTTTTTCTCGAATGAAGTTTTAACAGTGAATGTGACTTTCATTTAGGAACCCTATTACATATAGTTACATAGTATTTGAGTTGAATAAAGACACAGGTCCATCAGGTTCAACCCATTGTGTGTAAGCATGTGATTCTGCATGTGCATGAGTGTGTATGAGTCCCTGTGTGATCTTGTTCTTAAGTGTACCTGTACTCCTGTATGTTATGATCTCCGAGGGAATCGTTCAAATGATTTTTGAACGATTCAATCCTCCCAGCTGAAACCATTGCTTGCGGCAGCGAGTTCCAGACCCTAACTGTTCTAGCGGAAAAGAAGCCCCTTGTGCTGAAATCCTTTTTCCACCAATTTTAGGTGGTGGCCTCTAGTCTTTGTTATGGAGTTTACCGTAAAAAGCTTATTTCTGATGTTGCTATCACCATTGAGCATCTTGTACATGGAAATCATGTCCCCCCTTAATCTCCGCACTTCCAGCGTGAACATGTTTAAATTTAGTAACCTTGTCGATTCATTTTAAAAGTAGAATTTTGAGGTCAGACACAATTTATAATAACATTCTACAAGTCTCTGATGGCATTTTCAAATGTTCTGATAAGATTTTTAGTATAAACGTTCACACTAAAATCTACCAGTGTATGGAGAGCATTGCAGTAAAAATCTATCAATCAAGGTGTTTTTTTTTTTGCACCCTTGCTGATCCTGTTTATTGCTGTAAGCCATAATATTTCATCACTTATCATTAACATGATTTCAAATGTCTTTACTTGGAAATGTATAACATATTTACAAATAAAAAGCATTCTGTGCTTAACAGGCCTCTACCCTTAAAGGATAAGTCTGTGAAGGTTCTCCTTCATCCAGGTCATGGTAGATCTGTAAAAAATAAGTCAAGGCAGCTAGACTTGCTATATTTTTCTTGAAGGCGTTGCACTGGTCATCCAACCAGCTTTCTTAATTCAGAATGACTTGTATAAAAATTATCTGGGAAGGATAAGTTCACCTTTTGCAATAAATACAGAAATGCATAATTAATAATATATTTAAAAATATGCATTTCTTTAATATTTGCATTCAAGCCTGGAAAGCATTGTAATTGTGATCACTCGATCAGAGCTGCAAAACTCAGACTTCTGCACATTCTCTCCCAGACAGAGCTCGTACTGAGGTACAGAGTTTCGGGGGGGATGGCTGGACTTCAAACTACATTAAATCAGTGCCCAGCCGTCCTCGCTCTAGGTAGATGCAGGAATATGGGCAGCTCTACATACGAGCACTTCCAGTTCGAAAATATGCAGAAGTCTGAGCTGTGCGGCTATGATCGAGTGATCACTATTGCAATGCTTTCCAGGCTTGAATGCAAACTTTAAAGTAATGCAGATTTTTTTGTATATATTATTAATTATGCATTTCTTTAATTTTTGCAAAAGGTGAACTTATCCTTTATTTTTTATATTATTCTTTAACTTTTAGACCCCGTTCACATTGAGCGATTTATCGTGCGGTAATTCCCGCGATATCACGGCAAATTACCGCGCGATATCGCGCTCCAATGCAATCCAATGGGGCAAAGGGTCCTGCTGTCGCGGGTCGTGTGTCGCTACAGCAGGACCCTTTTTGGAGCGGATTTAGCCGCGATTCAAGCTTGCTCAATGCAAGCTTGAACGCGACATCGCGCGGCAAATCTTGCAATGTCGCGCAATATGCAAATTGCGCGACAAACGCACGATTTGCATATCGCGCAGTGGGAACGGGGCCTAACACACAACAGGAGTGGGCGGAGGGGAGTTTGGGGTTGAAGTGGAGGAAGATAAGGGGAGCAGTATAGGGAGAGGGGGCTCTGGAAGCATAGTAGAAAACAGTGCAGGGGGATGCTGGAGCCCAAGCAGGGGAGCAGTATAGGGGGCCCTGTATGTGGGGGAGGGGAGCAATAGAGTTGCTCACCTTGAGAAAAAGAGCTGTATGGGGCTGGGGGTGCTTAAGAAAAGGAGTAGTTCTGGGGTAACTCTGTAGATTTAGGAGAGGAGCAGTACAGGGTGCATATTGGAGGCTAAGGAGGAGAGCAGCAAAGGCAGGTGCTTGAGTGAGGAGCAGTACAGGAGGGGGACTCTGGAGGAGAGGAACAGCACAAAGGGGAAACTGGAGAAGAAGAAAAGGAACAGTACAAGGGAAAACTGGAGGTGGAGAAGAGGAGTAAAACAGGAGGGGAATTTAGGAGGAGAAGAGCAATGCAAGGAGAATGCTGGAGGTGGAAGAGAGGAGCAGTACAGGAGGGACAGTGAAGATGAAGAGCAGCAAAGGGTGACACTAATGTGGAAGGAGATAAACAGAACTGGGGAACACTGTGGGAAGAAGCAGAGAGGCACTACAGGGGAAAACGAGAGTTGAAAGAGAGGAGCAGTACAAGGAAGAATCTTGAGGTGTAGGAAGAGAGTAGAACAGGCGTGATGATGGAGGAGAAGGAAAGACACAGTGGTAGGGAGAGATAAGCCTACTTTTGGGTGAAACACATCAGAGATGGAAGTCTTAGATGGGGCTTTGTTGTGCATGTGTCCAGTACAATACAGTTTTATCCCAATTCTGGAGTTTTTAGGTTGCAACCAGTTTTTCATCTGTGGCCTTTGAGTGGAGCCTAGACACACAACAGTCAGCACAGTGCTTGGGAGCAACATTCATTTGTCATGTCATGTTAATGTGAAGCTTTGGATGCCATTTACTTCAAACAGGGGATTTTAGGACTGACATGGTTAACCATAATGGTGTTCTTCTTTAAAGGAAAAGCTGATAAATATCCACGAATGGTATATTTGATCTCAATGGAGGCATATGGTTATGTTGCTTTGAATTTCCTTACGAAGCACACTTTAATTTATGCCTCTCATGCCATCTTGACATCACTTGCACAAGATTATTTGTTTTCCTTGAAGCCTCAATAGCTCTTATCTGGTTTGTCTCTTGCAGGGCCTGTCATTGTAATGAACTGTATTTCTTTATTACAGTGCTGCATATTAGTTTAAATGAGACTGATAAGAGCTGGGAGCTTGGGAATGACGCAATGTCCGGATAACTTTTCACCCTGCTCTGCATTGCCTATTCGAAATGAGTCTGCTGGCAGTGTCTCAGTTTTGTTGTTTGATGAAAAAATACACAAGTATAGGGGAGCTTCAGTGGAAGCCATCAATTGATCCAAATTTATAAGGAGCTGAATCATAACTTTTTCTGCTTTATTTTGAGCTTATCCAAGCCCCTCCCACTTCCTCTGTTTAAATAAATTATTATTCACTTGATGTCCTTTAGGTGCTAGAAAATTTGACTACTCCAGGAAAGTCAGTCATCCAGCAGACCCCCTTCCATCCTTGCACGTCATAGTCCTCTCCTCTTCTGGGGGTGTCTAATTACTGTCTGTGCTGATTCAGCATCTCTGCCCTTCCCTACATAACCTTTGATGGAGCTGTCAGGGGAGGAGAGAATACTATTGAGTGCCAATTGACAGCTTTGAGTCTGCGGGTGCTGCTGCCATCACGTCCATGATTGTGGCGCCCATCAGAGATCTCAAAAATATTGGATGTCTACACAAGGGAGGTTTTTACAGGTAAATAACATGCCTGAAATGCATTCAATTCACATATAATCTTAGGGAAGATTTGTGTTGAAATGAATGGTCAGCCAACAGGGTCTCTTTAACCTCCCTGGCGGTATTCCTGAGTGTGGCTCGGGGTGTATTTTCTGTACCAAGAGCGGTAACCCCCAAGCCACACTCGGGATTGCGCAAAAGTGTCACTTACCTTGTCCCTGCAATTCTGCGGTGTCCTCTGCTGTGTTCGCCCGACCGATGCCGGCATTCGGCCTTCAGTTTCGTTTTAGGCGTCACAGCGGGGGGCGGAGCCGACGGGAAATTCAAAAGTGCAAACATGACATTTACACAGAATACACACAATACAATGTAATCTGCTATAATTACATATACACTGAGTGGCCAGATTATTATGACCACCTGACGTTATGTAAACTCCAATAAGGGATATTCAGAAGGACAGGGCCAAGCTCAACTTTTACCAGAAAGGTTGATATTTGCATACAATTTAAAGTATATGCCATGGCAAAAAAAAACCCCAACCTATGCCACACAGTTCTGCAATACATGCACATTTCCTCGCACTCTTAGATCTCTGCAATATAGACAGTAGTTCTGCAGTCCATGATAAGGACTGGGCTAATTAGACAACACAGGAAGTGTGCACAGGACAGCTCTGAATTTCAGATATGATCAACAGGTTTGTTTTTTTTGCACTTGTTGAATATGACAAATATTTGTTCAGTGGTATATTTAACAGGCCAAATAATAGCAGAAGAAGAATAAGAGAAGTTCATTGTTAGGGTGTGCATACTCTTTAAAGTGACATTAAAGGCAAACAAAATTTCCCCTCACCCCAATGTTAAGTAAAGCACTTACCTTCTTCTTTCCTGTAGTTTTCAGCCTTCTCTCCAGCGCTGCTGCGGGTCTCCGATCCAGCGCTGACTCCTCTGTGCTTGCTGGCACTTCCTGTCCCACTGTGTCTGCATGTGGGTGCACGCGTCCATAGACTCACCTTGTGTCTCTCCTCGCGTCCCGGATGAAAATGTGAACTGCGCATGGCCCCGCCCCAAGATGCTTTGCGGCCTCCCGAGCAGTTTCACATTTTCAAACAGGAGCGTGCGGGGAAGACACAGGTAAGTTTAAACCGCTGTTAAAGCTTTTTTCTTTTACTTTTTGCATATATCTACTGCTTGCTAGCCATATATATGTGCAAAAAAAGCTGAGGGTTTAATAACCCTTTAAGCTGCTTCACTCATTGTATGTATTCATAGTTTTGACACTGGTTTCCACCAAAGGTAATTGCATGGAAGCTTAAAATGTGTGCCTTGTTACTAGCACTGATTTTACAATCAAGATATATTGAATTTTAAGGTGGGGGGAGCATGGTGGCACTACATCAATAGTTAGTCCAAATCTTGGAGCCCATTGTGATGGTGCAATGTTGAAGAAAGTCGATGGGCACTCCTTTGCCCATCAACTGCTGGTAGCCAGCCTCACGTTCTGGAATGTGATAATAAAAACAAGCAGGGCTGTCATTCATTTTAACAAATGGCTACTTGGATGGTGCAGACACCTTGCACACCTTTTAGGGTGTCAGCCACAATGTGTAAGCCCCCCCCCCCCCATCAGGAAGGTCCCTTACAAGATATATTGAATTTTAAGGTGGGGGGAGCATGGTGGCACTACATCAATAGTTAGTCCAAATCTTGGAGCCCATTGTGATGGTGCAATGTTGAAGAAAGTCGATGGGCACTCCTTTGCCCATCAACTGCTGGTAGCCAGCCTCACGTTCTGGAATGTGATAATAAAAACAAGCAGGGCTGTCATTCATTTTAACAAATGGCTACTTGGATGGTGCAGACACCTTGCACACCTTTTAGGGTGTCAGCAACAATGTGTAAGCCCCCCCCCCCCATCAGGAAGTTCCCTTTCAGCACATGTGCCTGCAGCAAAGCTTTTGGCTTCTAGTGCTGCCCCTTCCTCTCCCAGTCTGAGTGCTACTTTGGAAGGGATGTCAGACTCTCATGGCAAGAAAGATTCAAACATATTCCACTTTTTTTCAAAGCAGCTTGGAGCTCCAATTTCCAGGGTGTTGTCTAAGGGCCTGTTCACACGACGTCCGTTTTCTGTGCTGACCTGATCTGTATGCTCCCAATGTATCCCTATGTGTTTTATGGGCTACAGTTCTCACGTTCACAGTCCGTTCAGGTTACCACAGAAAAAATACTGCATGTCACATTTTGTCCGGTCAGGAAACGCAGAAACGCAACGAAAATGCAACAGAAACGGAACACAATGCAGCTAAGCAAAAAAAAAAAATGTCATGGTTGGGGTAGAGGAAAAGACATGAACTGAAAACATTTTGAACATGCCCATTACCGTTCCATGGACATACGAGTAAAGGAAAAAAAATTATCCGGGTGAGCTCAAGATCGGGTGTACCCAATAACGACGTCTCCTGCGAGCTCACTCTCTGCTGTAGCCAGCACCATCAACATGTCTGCAAACATGTGATACATGTCTGATCACCAGCTTTACATACACAAAGGGACGTAGATGTTACGAGAGGGTGGAAGTGACCTCAGAGGGGAAAAAAAAAACTGTCGGCATCCGGACCGAAAACGCGTCAAGAACGCACTGCATGAGTAGCACCGCATCTGCAGATCTGCACCCGATCCGGACCTGAAAATCATGTGAACAGGCCCTAGGTTTGCAGTTGCAGCCTGTATGGTAGCCATGTAGCACACGTCTTCCTATTGGGCAGTGATCTTGATAAATAAGCCCCTGAGAGTTTTTGTAGCTTCCATTTCCTTAGCTTAATTCCTAAAAAATCAACTTTCATTGCTGCACGTTTAGGCAATTTAAAGCTTCAGTGATTCAGAACCACGCGCTGGTGTTCTAAATCAGCGGTAAGAGTGGCAGTCTTTCATGCTCGCAGTTATTTAATTAAAGTCAATAAAACCGAGCCTTGCTTTTCTGTATTCCTGCTGTTTTGTGATGCTTTAGAAAGGTGTTTTATGCCGTTAAAGAAGACCTGCTACGTTATATTGTATATGATGTCATGGAGGAGAATAGGGGTAGACACTGGCCCATTTTAGTTGTGTTTTACTATGCTTCTGTTGGCAACAATATTATGGCATTAAAATAGCACTCAATCCAAAAATACACTGAATAGTGCAATAAATGGTTAAATAAAAAAGGAGCTTTAGCTGCAATAATCCCCATTAGCCTGGAACTGCCTCCCATAGTACTTCTAGATGTTGTAAGTCTCCCAGGTTTGAATTATGGCCAGCATTATGTAACCCACTTCCTCTGAGCCCAGGACATTATGGACCCATCCTTTTGTAACATATTTGTTGAGTTTCCCTATATAGGTGCTACCTTATGTAGTGGGTAGAGTGGGGTTGTGTCCCTCCTCTGAGTCATTTAGGTGTCTGTGTGTGTGTGTGTGTGTGTGTGTGTGTTTGTAACTTCCCATCCTGATATTCAAGTTTCTTCAAAACATCTTAACAAGTGAGCTAATTGCTAGGGTTCTGATGGTTAGTCTGATATTTTCTATATATAAGTGGCAGACACAGGAAGCTGCACAGCTACAATGAGAAATCATGTCGCCATCTTGGTTATGTACTGCTGCAAAGGTGTGGTAATTACAAGAATGGCTGAACATAATTACTGTTATTTTGGCACGTAAAACAGTTGATGTCTTTATATTTCATCAGGTTGTTAGCTGTTTGCCTGGAGCTCTGCATTAAAGAAAACCTGTAAACCTCCGCAATGTAAAGGTTGTCATTAGTGGCCTCCTAATAGAAAA